ATAATAAAACATACATAAACTGACAAACAGTATCATTTCCTTTTTTATGAGATACTTATAAATGGTCAAAATGAGAAACAGAGTCAGTTGTCAGATTCAGGGAGGAGCTGCCGGAACTTACTATTCCAGGAATAGTTTTACAAGATGAAGTATATGGGAATGGATGGTGGAGACAGAAGCACAGCATTATCAACATATTTAATATGACTATATATCAGAAAGCAGGCAACACCAATGCATGGTAGTTTATGCCTACAATTCCAGCACTAGGAAGGCTGAGTTAGGAGAGGTTGCAGGTTCTAGAACAGCCTGTGCTACATGAATTCCAAGACCAACCTGGGCTACAGTGGGAGACCTTGTCTCAAAAAGTCTAAAATATAAGGAAAAAAAGTTAAACTTTATTAGGTGCATTTTCCTTCAATAAAAGAATTGGAGAAAAAGAAGAGTCAGTAAAAATTATTGTTTTCTTTAAAATTAAAATTATGTGTGGATGGATGTTTTGCCTGTATACATGTGTACCACATGTGTGCAATGCCAGAGGTCAGAAGACACTAGATCCTCTGGAAGTGGAGTTACAGAGGGTTGTGAGCCACCATGTAGGTGCTGGGAATTGAACCTGGGGCCTCTGGAAGAGCAACCTGTGCTCTTACGGAGCCATCTCTCCAGCCTCCCATTGTTATTTCTTTTAGGAATAGCTTTTCAAGGATGACTGACAGGCTTTGATTCTTGGTCAGCTCTATCTGTAATAACAAAATATGGAGGTACAGACAGATACTGTTTCTTACATTATGGAAGCCAGAAGCAGCCCCATGTCTGGATTCTGGTGAGGGCTCTGTCTAGTTTGTAACAGTCATCTTCTCAATGTTTCTTCATGGTTGGAGGAAGATAGATATTAACACAAGAACACAGGAGTCTGAGGGAACACAACACAGAAGTCTCTTTTCATTTGGTCCCCTGTGGGCTCCTAGATAGAACCTCAGGGAATGGCCAGCTGTGCTGCTGAGAGAATGGAGTCCACACACAATCAGGACAGACCCCAGTAGGGGAGCTCATGGAGGTAACAAATGACGCAAGTGAGCCTTAACCATTATAAAATGAGATGCTCAACTCAGAAGGGGTGTAAATATCTGGCCTACAGCCCCCTTGATCTAAAACAGGGTTTAGGAATTGTAATCCTCAAGACAAATCAGATCACTTGACCTTTGTTGTTGAAACATGTTTTTTTTACTCTAGAGTAAAATTAAGGAAATAATTTTGGTTTTTACCAAATTTTATACATTTATTTTGTGTACATTTTGTATACATTTGTTTTTTACTCTAGAGTAAAATTAAGGAAATAATTTTGGTTTAATACCAGATATTAAACATTTAAAGTTGGCTTCACTGTCTTATAATCATCTTACCTAGTTTCTTATTTTCTTCTGGAATGATAAAATACCTACACAGGAAGCAAGCTTGTCCTTGGTGCTCATCCCCCTCCTCTCTACTGACTGTGAACCTTTGGCTACTGTTGGCAGCATGTTCTCAACCCCAGGCCCGAGCTCGCAGCAGCAGCAGCTCCCTTGATTGACAGTGGACTCCTGCTTCTTTAAGGACCCCACACCTTGGGCTTCCCCCAGGTGGGTGGGACTGAGCCCTGAAAACTGTGAAGGTGCTGGGAAGGTCTCCCCGTTCTCTCTATGGTAGACTGTGAATCTCCCCCTTTGACTATTTCTACTCCAGTGCTCCTTCTCGTCTCCACCCCAGTTTACTGTCACCCTGGGAAACTTTTACCTTCACAAAGTGGAGGTGACCCTGACAAGTGTCTTGGCTGCCCTCTGCTGACAAAAGCTGGAAATCAGCGTTGCTGTCTGAGGCCTTGGCTAGGAGAATACAGCTAGGAACACAAAATTTGAAGATGCATCATAAAACTAAGTTAAACAAGATTACATTTTTGGAAAATATTTTAAAAAGTCAAAATAATAATAATAATAACAAACCACAGCGAACAAAAAAAACTGTCCTGATATACAGTTTAGTAGAGCCTCTAGCCCTACAGTAACTGGGTGATTAGAGTTCATGTCTGACCCAGAGACCCACCAGGTTATAGCTGCACCTTGACTTCCCACGAGTACAAGCTAGTCACAAATTTTTTGGCTGTTAGATGGAATACCTTTCTCCCAAGATGATTCTCAAAGTGAGAGTCACACATCTATTTGGAACCACAGGCTAAATTTTTCCAACTCACTTCCAACAAAGTCAGCTTGACCCCAAAATGTATATTTAAATAATACAAAATCTTTAAGAGATAAGAAATGCTTAAGGCATATGATCAACTTCTAAGAATGTGATTTTACATAATTTAGTTATAAACTTCAAAATTATTATGAACAATCTGTCACTTTTCTGGAAATTTTTAAATGTTGGAAAGTTGGACTGACTAGAACCAACACACCTATTAAGAAGAACAGTGAAGGAAAAGGAAAAGCTTGGTGCTCAAGGTTGTAAGAAACATGAGGCCAACAATTATTAAGAGTCTGGGGGGTCCTAGAAAGAGCTGGGCTGGGCTCCGCCACCAGCTCAGTGAGCACTCACCAGGTCACCTGGGTCTGAGGACTGCCACTCCTTGGGAAAACTCAGAGAAAACTGAAAGTGAGAGAGTTTGCTCTCTGCCACCCCTGCAACCAAGAGCAATAACGGAGCAAACTTTACCGCAGGCTACCTCTCCTCTGCTCTAGCAATTCTTATTTGGCTCCAACTTTGTACCACTTAAAAAATGACACTGGTGATGGGATGTTCCTTCAGTGAGTGCTCTGTGCTGCCATTTGGTTGGCGGCCTTGGTGGTCAACTTGAAACTGTATCCAGAGGCAGTCTTGCCAGGCTTCCTGTCAGTGGTGCTGCGGGGCCATCGCCACCTGCTGCTGGTTCATAGCCCACCACTCACCGAGCGACATGATCAGCTTCCCAAATCACTGCTGGTCCTGGACTTGCTGCTGCGATGTGGGTTATCTTCATTTCAAGGAAATACAGGGTCTCTGATATTACTTAATGATGATGCTTGCATTCTGTATCATCCTGACAGGCCCTTGTGCACTGCTTTTTCTGAAATCTAACTATTCACAAAAAGACCAGCAGATGGCAGCAGTGGCTAGTTAGAATGCCTCTCCTGCACAAGCTAATACTGAGGACTGCTAAGCAGTCTGTATAGCAAGGGCTCTCTGCCACTCTGGGAATGAATGGATAAATGACTACTCCACAAACATGAGAATGAAGAGACCGTGAAAAGCCCTCCCATGAGCTTTAAAGAAGGCAGGACTTCTCTGGGTAGCTCAAAGACATGCTGCATTCTTGGGTCATCCTGTCTGAGGGTGCTGTCCATCAGTGTCTACTTAGTGTTAGAATCCAGAAAATAGGATGGAGTTTGTACAAAGGAAATTACCACCCAAATTTCTAACTTATTAATGAAGAGAAGCAGAAATAAATACTTTATTGGTTGAGGGAAGGAACTCAGGTTTACCTTATGGAATTTAAGTTCAATGAAACTGGGCCCCTTTGTTAGAGAAAGTAAATGTCATAGTTGCTAATTGAATGTTTTAAAAGGCCAGCTCATTATTTTCAGCAAAAAATGATTTACTTTAATATTGCTCATCTCTTCACATTGTCTGCCCTTCTTAGCTCAAAATACTTTGATAATTATTCCAGATAAAATCCATCCCCATTGGGATCCATCTCTGTTGCATGGGCAGGCTTCTGGGAATCTGGTGCCTGTGGTGTGACATCTTGTGCAGCCTTGGTGCAGTGGGAAGGGGCTTGATCCTGCCTAGGTTCGGTGTGCCGGGCTCTGCTGACTCCCCATGGGAGACCTTGATTTGGGGGATGTGGGGATGCGGGATGGCTTGGGAGAGGGCTGGGGGGTGGGAGGAGGGAGGATCTGTGGGTGGTATGTGGAGTAGAAAATTTCTTAAGAAAACTGAAAAAAAAAAAAAATCCATCCCCAGAGAGCATGTCATGATCACTTACAATGTGTGATATAATGTAAACATTCACAAGCACACACGTGTGTACCAAATCCAGATTTGGAGAACATTCTAGAGTTGCTAAAATAAAGGTTTTAGTTTATCGGGGCTCAATTTAAAGGGAGCATACTTGTTGAACTGTACAGCTATATTTTTGTTCTTAAAAGAGTTAAATTCCTTTTAATTAGAAGTTTGTTTTGATTCTATTTTAACTGATTTCGAGGAGACAAAAGAACATAGTAAATGTATTGATTTGATTCTTTAAGAAAACCAGCCCTGAAAGCACACTGCTCATTACCATGGTGTCTGCACCCTTAACACAGTAACCGGACTTGGCTGTGCCTCTTACCCATTCCCTCCTGATATTGCAGTACTGTGCTGTGCTAGAGAAACAGAATAGCATCCTGCACCTGTCTAGGCTTCAACTTCATCGATGCTGTTTGAGTTATGTGGCTCTGGACCTGAGTCCTTGGCATGGCATGCTTCCTGTGATGGGGAGTTAACGATAGTATGTAACTGTCTTAAGTTCTGTTGTCCAGGGTAGTTAAATCTCTAAGTATGTTCACCAATGTCTTGTTGCCTGACAAACACTTTAAGCTTATTTGCTATTGTTATGACATGTTAATCAAGGGGAAAGACAGTTTGTAGACAGGAAAAACCTTGAACTTACCAAACTACTGTCCTTACTATTCTCATCCCAATTTGTTTCCAAGTCAGCAATGTCACTGGAGTCCCTGTCTAATCACTGAATTGCCAGCACAGACAATATTTGATAATAATGTCTTTTACTCATTTCAGTTTTTACTTGAAATGTCATTAAATTATGTTGATGACTTCTGAATAAATGTGTATGACAGAAAAAAAAAAAAACCCAACAAAAACCCAGGGATACTATAGCCTGATATTTGAACTAATTTCAAAGGACATTTGCCTCTTCACATTAACTGCACTGTTGAGAGATGAAGGTGTAGCACATAATCAAAAAGAACAATCCACACACTCAATCCACTGCAGTATCTGATTATATTAATACCACACCATTCATCAAAGATACTCTAACACAAATTTAAAACACAAGAGTTAACTTAATTTTCTGTATCACTGCCATTTAAAGCTTGATTTTTATAAAACATTAAAACAAGAGTTCTTTATTACAAAAATTAAACAGTATCAATTGCTTGGCGAGTTCAAGGTATATACACTAAAATCAAACAACTAGCATGTATTTCAATATGGGGTCTATACAAAGAGAAAAGACAAATGGACCCAGTAAGGCAGTATTCGTGACTCTCAGAACTAAACAAAGTTTCAGTTCCTTCTGCTGTATTTACATTCAGATGCTTCTCTATATCCTGGTCAAGATTCCCAAGCTAAATGGTTAAAGGATGTATTTAGCTTTCTAACAAAAGAATTTCTATCTACAGTGACCACTTTTAAAGGAATCCACTCCACAATGCTGACGAAATCTGTTGGTTCCCCTCACTAATGTGTAGCAATCTTGTTATGTTGACTCTGGCAAGTCCAGGAGGAACCCAAGAAATGGAACAACGAAGCACATTTATCGAAGTTGGATCCTGGCTTTCTTCACCTCTCTTCAGTCATTGACAGGGACTTTGTAGGCCACCATACTGTTCACTTTGTGGATGGTGGTAGTAAACGAGCGGAGACGGACTTCTTCAGAATTGGTAATGAACTGGGGTCCCGACTCCTCCCATTTTTCAGGTACCACCAAATCTTTGTCAGTGTAAATCAGCAGATCAAATGAACCTAAGGTGGAAATGAGATTAAAGTAAAAGTGAAGCTGTCTTCCCTGCCTGTCTCACTGGGCCTCACTTGAATCCTCCCTTGCTAAAGATAGCTTCGCTTGCTTGAATTATGATTTTCCTGAAGAAAACCCGAGTTTAGAACAAAGTAGTATATTTTATAGTAGAAAGTAAAAGTAGTAAAAACAACTGTGAGAAAACTTTCACAAAGTACTGTAGAATGTTTTCGTGGGGTGGGCGCATGTGGAGGCCCCAAGCTAATGGTGGCTCTTCCACTTTGTTCACCGAGGCAGGCATTCTCAAGCAAACCCAGAGCTTCCCAGCATGTCTAGTTTTGCTAGCCAGGTTGTTTTGGTGATCCCATCTCTGCCTTTCTGGGCTGGAGTTATAGGTGGGCCACCCTAACCACCTGCAGGGTCCTGCTGGTGGGAATCCTAATCCAGGCCTTCACACTTGCTCAGCAAGGACTTTAACCACTGAGCCATCTCCTCAGCCCTTGTCCTCACATTTTCTGGAACACACATGTGGTATTTGTGATGTTATTTGCTCTGCTTCCCATATCCCATTATATCACAAGGCAGTGATAAATTAAGAGATTTAACAAGTGGAGATCCTCCCAAGAGCAGTGTACATTTTCCCCAGCAAATTTAAAAGGGTGTATAATACTTACAAGAAACTTCCAACAGTGGCAGGAAAGTCACAGTAGCTGTGATCTGCCTGATCACTGAACGGATTTCATCCTGGATGGCTTTCTGTGACTTTTCTCTACAAACACTGTAGAAGAACCAAACAAATGATTCATTCTAGATTTCATTAAGTTAATTAAAATACACTGGTAAGCATTTATCTGAACAAAATGCTTCAAACAACACAGAAACAGTACATTAGGAGACTACTAGAGGTATTCTTGGGCTACTGTATCTGCATCTGTCCTTCCCATCATTCTTCAAGGCTGATCTTAGTATCAGGTTATTCAATGTATGATGGTTATTAAGTTTCTCAACCACTCCCAATAAGGATATTTACAGTAACTCTTTAAGATAAAGGGAAATGGATTCTAACACATAAACTTGGTAGAATTTTGGTATTTTTAGTAACATCTAAGTACCCAATTCCTTATTGAGTCAAGTAAAATAAATTACACATAAAATATTTTATAAGCTAAAAATTTCTTACAGATCAAAGAGCAAAATGCTCTTCATTACAGGAACTTACAGAAAAGTATGCCTAGCATAACAGGCACTCTGATGTACAAGGATCACAATCTTCAAAGTTTACAAAGTTCATGGCGTTAGATGAAGCAGGGCTACATCTAAGTTAGGAATGGGTCTAGGTTCATCTCCTGAAGTTAACAGGATCTTTAAGCACTTGATTAAATGGTCCACATATTACATCATAGTTCTGGTATAACCAGAAACATGAAGGTCAAATTTCACTGAGTTAGCCTAAAGACAGCGTGTTAAAAGCATCTTAGCTACACAACTACTAACAGGCTGAGAACTCAGAAGTCCCTTATAAGCCAGTATCTTTAAAAACATACAACTTGAACTCATGTAACAACAGAAGTAGGAGTAACTGAATTCACACTTACCCCTCCTCTTTCGCAGTTTTGTCACACTCAATATCAAACTGCCATCTTTCGAGGACCTCACCACTTTCAATGTTTGAGATGACCACCACCAGTTTCTGCACTGAGCACTTGTAGAGCCAGTCTGCAACACACAGGGCATCTCTCACGCTCTAACTATAACAACTCTCCCTAAAGACCCACTTCAGCCTTACAAAATCCTTACTTCATACATAAGGAAAAAGTTCTCCATTAATAATTTAGCCAATTTTTAAATTTTCTACATTACTAATAGGTGCAATCAGGGGCATCACAGTGAACCTGTATTTCCACTGTTATTCACAGTTAAGAGAAAGAATACGAGATAGGTTTTCATCTAACCACTGTTAAAACAACTGTCAGGTTACATCTGTGGTGCTTGTTAGTAACAGACAGTGTAAGAGCATAAAAAAAAAATCTGATCCATTCTGATCCATAGGTGAAGAATGGATTTAGTTTTTGCATTAACTGTGCAAAGGAGAGGGAAGTCTAGCCCTTAAATACTCAAAAGAGCATATGTAATTTGGAAAGATAATTGCAAAGAAAGGGAGACTATATTAATAAGTCACGATGTTATATTATATAAAATCTTATGTGTTGAATTAATGAAACTATGCTTTTAAGAATCAGGAAAATCACAACTATGTTTTAGGCAGAGTAATCGATTAACCTTGTGTTCCCAAACTATCACCCTGGGTAGTAAGTTAGCTGGAGGGGGTAAAAGAGGGTCTACAGACACTTAGAATTCAAAGCTCATTGGATAAACTGGTAGAGATGACACAAAGCAGATTTCATGCTTAAAACCGTTAAGATTTACTCCATTAGCTTTGAGTAAGAATTATTTTGAGGTAGTCTTCAGGTTTCTGACTTCATTGCTGGTTGGACTGGTGACCTTGTCACTGATAAACCATTTGGGAGATCATTTCGCTTTTATTCTGCAGAAGCATGTTTGAGAGAATGACAAAACAGGCTGCTCTCAGTGTGTGTGTATATATATATATATCTTGTTTGCACTTGAGAATAGAAGTCTATCTCCACGTATTTACCAAGTACTTCATCTTTCCTATTCTAGCAGTCTAACCTACCAAAGAAGTTCTCAACCAAGCCAGGCTACCTGTGGCAATATAGATGCATCTGATGGTCATAGCCAGGAATGTGTTAATTGACATCTGGTAAGCAGGAGCTAGGATGCTGCCACATCATCTTATGACACACAGGAAAGTTCCCCACTAAATATCCAGATCAAAATGTCACTAATGTAAGATTGAGAAAATTTGTAAAGAGTAAACCCTACCTTCTTTGCTTGTGAATTCATACTCAACCTGTATAAGTATTGATGAATACTCTACTATGGATATGAATAGTAAGGAACGTTTTGGAGTATGGCCTTAAGCTGGGCATAGTGGCAAATGCCTTTAGTCCCACCACTTGGGAGGCTGATCTCTGTGAGTTCAAGGTTAGCCTGGTCTACATAGCAAGTTTCAGGACATCCAGAGCTACAAAAAACCCTGTCTCAAAAGCAAAACAAAACAAAAAAAGAATATGGCGTTAAAGAGATGTCAAGCTAACTATGTTCACTTGGTCACCAAAAGAAGGCCATTTTAATGCTGAAGTTATCAGAAATGCAGTGAACACTGTAATGAAACTACAATAGAAACAAACTAAAACACTCTTAAGAAAAGAATTTGGGGGGGGGGGGGGCTGGAACAATGTCTCAGTGGTTAAGAGCATGGGCTGCTCTTCCTGAGAACTGACATCCTCTTCAGGAACCAGACAGACATGTACCTGATACATACAGACATAACCCAGGCAAAGCACCCAATCACATAAAATAAAAACTCAAAGAGAAAAAAGACAGTGGCAATGCTTTTAGAATTGGTATTTTGTAAGTCTATGTTGGGAGATACAAGGCTAAACACAGATTATAACTAGAGTGGCAATCCTAAGTGATGTGCAACCTGAGAAATAAGGAATTCCAGAAGGAATAAAAATAGGTAGAAATAAGTATTGACCTAACAGGCAGTATTAACACTGAGCTACCAATGAATAAAGTGTCCAGATATTGAATTACTGCCACAACTTTTAAGAAAGATAAAGAATAGTTTTAAAGTAAAAATGTAAAACTTTCCTGTATATTGTTATTTAGTAATACCCTAATTACAACAATTACCACATATTAATCTATGCCTCAGAAGAGCGAAATCATTTTGTGTAAAATTACCAATCTGTTGTACCTGTTTAAACTGCAAAATTCATTCCTAAAGCAGCTGATAAGGCACTTAAAACTCCAAGACTCCTAACATCAAGACATTAAACCTACTGAAAAGCAGTGGGGGAAAGGGTGGGATTTCTCTTCATTATTTGCTTCCTCCCAATTCAGAAGCACTCTATTTGAGAAGGCATATTGCTTTATTTCCTCCCTTATAAATGTAACGCTATAAGATGCAAAATTCAAAAGGTGATTACCTTTTAGCTGCTCCACTACATTATTGAGATACTTTATGAGTTCGGGGTCAGTAGTTACAAGCAAGGTGAGTCCGTATTTCTGCACTCGAGTAAAGGTTTCCGATGGATATATGCCACGCTGGTACAAAATGCTGTTGATGCCAAACGCTGAAAACGAAAGAAATAAAGACATAAACGTCTACTCACGTTTGTAAGTCTCCCAGAAAGCAGAGTAGGCACAAAATAACACGGAAAACCTTTTTAACTCAGCAATCTAAGTGTAAATACAGATTATGTGGTCAGAGGATGTCAACATAGACCCCGGCTTTCAAAGAGCGAGTGGGATGGCTCCCCCGGTGAGCCCCTTCTGTTCCAGGAGGCGGAAGCCTGCGCGGGGCAGCGCAGCGTTCCCCGCCAGCGGGAGGAATGAGCGGGAGACCGTGCGGTGGTTCCGCCCTAGCGCGCGTCCCAGGGCCCGGGCCAGGCCGCTCTCTGGCAGCCGGGGCCGCACGGAGCACTCACAAAAAAATTCGGCTACGATTTCCGCGCTCCCGCGCAGGGTGATGCCTTGCTCCCGGGCGAGCTGCTGTGCCATCACTGGGTCTAACGGAGAACCCTGTCAACCTCACGGCACACGGCGCCCTCACGGCTCAGCTCCTACAGCTATTCCCCGCCACCCGGTTCAAAAGTAACTACGCAGCCCGCGGGGCGCTCCGTGCGCAGGCGCAACGTGCCCGAAGCCCCACCTACACCGCCGGTTTCCGGCCCCAGGCTTGTCCTATCAACACTTAATCTCTCCCTAAGCCCGCCCCATGCTTCCGGTTTCCGCCCTAAGCTCCACCCACACGACAGAACCCGCCTTGACTAGTCTCTTCGTCTCAAAATTCCGTTCTGAACCCGGCTTCCGCTGTAAGCCCAGTCCCACGAGGACCAGCGAACTGCCCCTAAGCCCCGCCCATAGCGACTTGTAGCTGTCCCTGGCTCCGCCCTCGCTGGCACACAGTTACGCAGGCGCAGAGTGGGCCTCGCTCAGTGTTTCCGGACATTCATGCCCTGGAGGGTCCTTGGTGGGTGGGATCTCTGGTCCGTTGGCTTAGACGAGGACCCCGGATGGTGGAGGGGAAGCTCACCTGCTAAGCCCGTGGTCTGCATATTCCTGAAGTACAGTCTCAGCTTCGTGGATAGTTTCAAGTTGGGGAGAGCCTGTGTTTTGTGTGGGAACGGGACTTTTCTGGAGAAATAAGATGAAGGGAACTGGGGCTTCGAGAAGGCTCAGAGAGTAAAGGTGCTTGCCTCCAAGTCTGCAGCGCCTTGCGAGTTTACCCTGCTGCAAATTGTACACACACACACACACACACACACACACACACACACACACTATAGAAATCCTTTCTTTGCAATTAAATTAGCCTGCTTTTAAGTTCTTTGGTCATATGCTCCTCCTCTTTGAGTATGTAAAGCCTGTACCAGAGCATATAAGATTACACATGGGATTCAGGTTACAGTTTTTATATTGTACAGCGTACGGGGGTCCAGGAGATGGCATGTCTTCCAAGTGTCCCAAGTGTTTCTAATGCTAGTACGCAGATCACACTTTGAAACCAATCGACTGTTATAGATATTATAATATGAAGGTTTAAGACGTTGAGTGCCTGAACTAAATAGTTGCCTGAGAGATTAAATAAGAAAGGACGCAGCAGAGAAAGAAATTGTGGAGCAGGAACTGATGACAGATGAGGAAGCAGAATGAAACGGTGCCATAGATAAAGCTGAGATACCATGCTCTTTCCTCTCAAACTGTGGATGGATTTTTCTAATTTATCACAGCAGTATTTAAGATTCTGGAATTTGAAGGTTGGTTTCTTTCCTATTAACTTTTGGGCACTTGGTTTAACACCCTCTCACACACCTTATCAAAAGCAGTGCTATAAATGCTTCTTGGAAACGTCTCAGTTTCTTGAGTTTACTTTTCCTCATGATTCAGTGGACTCTTGCTGTGTATTGTTTAGGGAAAGGATGTTTGAACAGGGAGGAATAAAAATTGAGTCTTTTTTCTAAAGATAATTCAAACAATAAACAGTCAATCTTTTATTAATAAAACAAATGTGGAGATTATGTCATAAATAGTCCTATATTTTATATTAGGGTATTAAAGACAAGTATTTGATTTTTCTCTAAATCTAGAAGCACATGAAATTTTAGGCTGAAGAGCTCCATTAATGACTTAGTTAAATAATCTTATAGATGGGAACTAAGGTCTAGACTAGTTATAGAGTTAGTCCAAGATCCAATATCTACTTAGTGGCAGATTTATTGGAGAGTTTAGACTGCCTAGTTTACTCTCCTTTTAAAGCATACCTGTTTGGAAACATGGCGATAAGTGTCTTTATCGTTGTGAGGATTTTCTTTTTTGGAGGGAGGAGATTTGGGCTAAGAACATTTACTCATTATCTAATGTACATAATTTGTTGAGAGATTTGCAGTAATAAGCCATAAAAAGTTTGGTGTAACTACACAAATATTTGTAATTGCCAGAAGAGGGCAGTGTTTACCTGTACAATAAAACTTGAAACTCCAGCTGAATGCTTGTTAACAGTTTTTAGGCATTTGTGTGAATATGGAGAACTTCAGAATGAAACGTTGAATTGAAATATAAAACAGAACTTACACTAATTTTAGACTTTAATATATGTGCACCACACATATTGGAAATATATGTAAATGTGTTCTTGAAACTAAGCAGTTTATTCTAAATCTCATAAAACTGGGTATGCATATCACATTTTTGTGCAATTTTAATCTGCCATTTTTTTTAAATAGTATTTTTATACAGTAGGGATTTTATTATGTGGATTTGATGTATTTGGTTTTTTTTTAATTCTTTTTTTTTTTAATCACAAAACTTAGTGTTACTCAGTTTCTTTTTTGTATTGTTCTTGAAATAGGCTCTCATCTATCCCAGGCTGGCCTAAAACTTTTTATGTCGTCCAGGGTGACAAGGACTTCTTATCTTCCTGCCTCCACCAGCTGACTGCTAGAATCATAGGTATGCATCACCATGCCCAGTTTATTCAGTGGTAGGAATTGAAAGCAGGAGTTTGTACAAGCACTCTATCAGCTGAGCTACATCTTCATCCTTTATTTGTAGCTGGAGGCTTTTCTTTGTCCCGCCCAGTCCCGCAGCTGCTTATAAAATAATTACTCAGAGGCTTCTATTAATTATAAATGTTTGGTCGGTGGCTCAGGCTTATTATTAACTAGCACTTACAACTTAAATTAACCCATTTCTATTAATCTATCTATTGCCATGTGGCCATGGCATTACTGGTCTGTTGGCATCTGGCTCCTTGGGTGGTGTCCCTCTCACTCTCCCTGTATCTCTGCTTGCATTTCCCACTTGGCTCTTATCCTGCCTTGCCATAGACCAAAGCAGCTTTATTTATTAACCAATGGGAGCAATACATATTCACGGCATACAGAAAGACCATCCCACAGCACTTATTTTTTCTTACATAGTATACTTTTCACTTTATGTGAATAACAAGAATTATATATCACTCATTTTCTGTTCTGATTACTAAGGCTCATTTATTATGTCTAATGAATATACATATATTTACATGGTTTTAATGATTAAATTGTAGAGTGTTAAATCTCTTAAAGTCCTATTCCCCTACCTCATACTTTAATGTGAGACTCAGGTGCTCAAACAAGAATACCTAACAAATTTTAATGATGACATTTAATTAGCAATGCTTTAAAGATTTTATTTGTATTATTACTTATGTGTATGTCTGAGTGTGTGTTTATGCATGTGAGTGCAGTGCCTGTGTAGGCCAGACAAGGGTGGCATATCCCTTGGAGCTGGAGTTACAGGCCATTGTGAGTCATGGAACTTGCTTGCTAGAGACCAGATTTGGGTCCTCTGGAAGAGCAGCAAACACTGGCCACTCCTGAGCCATTTCTCCAGACCCAGCATTGCTTTAAAAAAATCAACAGCTTTATTTCCATAATGATAGAGTTTATAATTTTAATTACATGATTGCACACATGGTAAATTTTTAGTAAAAATTAAGTATGATGTAGTATTGAGAACTAATATAAATTCTTATAACAAAAATAGATGGCTTATTATCAGAAAGCATTACCATATTTTGTTGTTTACTGTATTTGTTATTTATATGGCATTTGTTGCAATGTTATCATGTTGGTGATAGTTCCATTTTGTTTTTTATATTTATTTGTGGGAGGAGGGGTTTTGTGCATATGTGGATATCAGAGGACAATTTGCAGGAATCAGTTCTCTCTTTCTCCCATATGGATTCTGGGTATGGAACTCAGGCTGCCAGGCTTATTGTGCTCCAACTCATTGAACCATCTTGCCAGCCTTACATAGTATTTTATGTGTATTTAATCCTTGGTGAGAGAAAAGTGAACACACACACACACACACACACACACACACACACACACACACATGTTGGAATACATTATATAGAATACAGGTGCATATATTTAAAAATGTGAATGCAATTGGAATTTTGAACAGCTCAAAATGGTTTAGATATAAAAACTAACTGCACAGCAGTCCTGTGAGAAGCTAATAAACCATGACCCTTTTTAAATGAGCAAAATGTATTTAATGCATTAAATCATTTTATAATTACTTATTGTGGTGGTTTGAATAGGAATAACTCTCACAGGCTCATATATTTGAGTGCTTGGTCATCAGGGAGTGGCACTGCTTGAGAAGGATTAAGAGGTGTGGCCTTGCTGAAGTAGATATGCCCTTGTTGGAGGAAGTATGTCACTAGGGGTGGCCTTTGGGTTTTCAAAAGGCCAAACCAGGCAGGCCCAGTATCTCTCTCTTCCTGCTGCCTGTGGATCTGGATGCAGAACTCTCAGATACTCTTCAGCATCATGTCTGCCTATAGGCATCATGTTCCCTGCCATGATAACAATGGACTAAACTCTGAACTGCAAGCAAGCCCCAATTAAATGCTTTCCTTTATAAGAATTGCCATGGTCATGATGTCCTTTCTCAGCAAAAGAACACTGGGTTATTTAACCTAGATATTTTATGCTTATAATTTTATCTGTTTATGAATATATCAAATATAAGATTGTTTTATTACCTAATATATAAATATAGATGAAGTTTTGTTACATAGACTATCTAATAATAGAACTCTTGTTTAACCAAGAAGAAAATATTTTTGAAAGAGTGCCACATATAAAGTTAGTAGACCATAAATTTGGGTCTTTCTCGAAAATTTGTCAGTGCTAAATATTGTAGAAAGAAAATGCTTAAACACAAAAATCAGGTTACTTCAAGTTTAAAAAAATAAATTTTTCTGGGAGAGGTTTTTTTTTTTAACTTTTCTTCTGTTTATAGTTCATTGAAGTACTCTGGTGGTTATCTGGATAGCCTTCATTTTCAGCTTGGCTAGATATAGATACCTAGGAGACACACTTCAGGGTATGTCTGTGAAGTCATTGCCAGAAAGAATAAATAGAGGTCTTCCCTGAATGTGCTGGGGTTCTGAACTGAAGAAAAGCAGGGCGGGGAGGGGGAAGGGAGAGGGGGAGAGGGGAGGAAGCTAGCAGAATGCAGGCATTCCCTATCTCTTCCTCCTGGTGCACCTGCTGCCAGATGAGCCAATCCTGTTGTGAGCATTCCCCACCATCATTACTGCACCCTCAACTATGGTCAGTAGGAAGTCTT